AGAAATAATTTTATTCTGGGACTACTGTTCCCTAAGAATAATAACAAAGTTACAAATTTATGGATCTTAGTCTGACTTAGAATAATAAAAAATAACTAATTAACTGTTAATTGTCATTGCGAATGAGAAGTAGATTGAAATTAAACAGCGTACAGATGTAAGTAATTTTGCATGTTTGCGGAAGTTTGAATGTGGAGTAGGTGGTGGAACAGGAGTTGTTTGTAGGAATTTGTGGACGAGGAATGACGTATGGAGGTAGAAAGAGAGTTCCAAAAGGAGGTAGCTCGAATGACGAAGGAAGAAGTTTTATGGGAGGGGATAAATAAGTCTATAGGTTGAGACCTGGTATTAAGAGAGTGGATAGAGGAACATAGAGTAAGGAGTTCCAGGATGTACGGAGGGTTTCTGGTTTTGAAGACTTGGAAAAGGAATACACCAATGAGGAATGGTCGTCGAGAAGTAGGATAAAGCCACTTCAACTCGGTGTACCAGAGTGAAACATGCGAACTCCTGGGGATCCCGAAGATGTATCCTATGAAACAAATCATTAGTTTCTTCAGTCTTATTTCTAGCGTAGCAGATAGCCCTCCATTTACCAAACAGCCATAGCTGTTATTATATAAGCCATAGCTAGAATTTTGGGGTAATCTGGGAGATATGGTTATTCCAGGAGAGGTTCTGGTCAAAGGTTACTCCTAGGTTTTTGACTGTAGGGAAAAAATGGATGGGACGGTTATTGAGGTTAAGTAGAGGAAAATAAGGAAGGGAGCTAATGAGATGTCTGGACCGATGAGAATAGCCTTAGTTTTATCTGCATTCAGTTTTAATTAATTTATTTCTGCCCATTTGTTGATGCAGATAATATCCTCTTGTAGCTTTCGGGCAGCCTCAGGCATCTCAGAAGGTTGAAAAGATTGGTATATTTGGAAATCATCATTATATAGGTGGTAACAGAGGTGTTGAATTTTTTGTGTTTCAAAATATTTATGTGTTCTGTATTTTATCATAGCTATCTTTTCAATGTGACTGTACTTGAACATTGAACTCTTTGAACCTAAATTAATGTAATAAAAAATAAATATATAGTTAACTCAATTATCAAATGAAGTATTGAACAATAATACACATATGCACTGATTTGAACTATAAATCAAATAATACTAAAGCTATTGTCAATTGATGGGACTGAAGGCTTGCTCGCCCAAACCTCACTATTCCGTATCCTACTGTAAAAGTTTAAACAAGCTTTGCCAGAGCACTATTTGCATAAAGGATGCTATATTACATTTATCTTTTATAGCTTAAATAAGTAGTTTTTCTCCTCCTAAATCGGCGATCGGCTCTATTGTGGGTAGTAAAGAAACGATATTGATAGGCTTCACGATATTGATAATTATGGATATTAGTTTTAAAGTTAGTTATAATATTAATACTGCAATCAGTACAGCTGATATAAATAATTTATATAATGCAATCAGGCAGTCCTATGCCTATCGAATAAATTACTCAAAGTATTCGTAGTTAGCATACTTTGAACTCTTAAAACATTAAAAAATTAGTGTGTTACAGTAATTTATGGAACGTTAATACGGTTGAGATCCTACTTGTATAAGACAAGATGGCTTCCAATTAGCTTTTGTTTGTAAGAATATTTTAAGTAGTTAGAGCCTTTAAATGAGTACCGATTGGTATTAACTTAAGAATAACAATAACAACAATGTAAAAAATAAAGATTACTTCTAGCCATAAGATCTATTAAATAATGAAGATGTAAAATATATATCTGTAAACATGTACATAGTTGTAAAAAAAATAAAAATATTTACAAACAAGTAAGAAATAATGTTACAAAACAATCGCTTCTGAGATGAAATAATACAGAGAAAGAAAGATAAATTAATATTATAAGCAAACGATGTTAACCTTAAACAAAAATTATATTTATATCTATTATCTAAATGTTTAATTAAATATACATAATTGTATAATAAAAATAATAAATAAAATATCTATATTTTATGCAATTACATTTACTAGAATTACCAAAATCAAATTTGAAGTTATACTTCCATCTACGTCTCCGTTTACCAGGTTACTAAGTAGCTTAACATTGATTTCCTTTTTAGCAATTAGTTCATTATGAAACTTCGTAGGCTTTAATCACACCTGTGGCACAGATTACTTTTTCCTTAAATAGTCTTTGGTTAGTCTAGATTTCTTTTTTCTTACAGGATATTTTACATAATAATATTTCATTTTTGAAAAGATTGGTGCTTCCTTTCAGGTAAGCGGCTAAGTTTCACATCCGTCGAGTATATTAGCAAGTATAATATTGTTTTAAATTCTTACCTTCCGGTTACTGAATGGCAGGTGTGGTCTTATTAATGTCATAGTGGAAAAGAAATTGTCTTTCTACTTCTGGATGTGCTTTCTAATACAATCAAGAAAGTTTTATATTATAATTATCTATTCATGCAAGAATAAAAAATAGCAAGAAGATATCGTGAGGTGAATACTGCAAATAAACAAATATTTGAACTTAAAAAAAAAACCTGACTACAGAAATTGAGAAATTCTATCCATAGTAAGAGAATGAACTTATATATCTACTTAAATAAACAGCATGCTAGATTGATAGGGAAATTGAGCTCTACAAATATTTCAAATTGGTGTGACAGTCTGGTCTCTATCATTACACGTTACGGCACCGGCTGATCGTCTTGGGAGCTCCTTGCTTGTTATAAATTAAAAAATGAATACAAAATGTATTAAAATAATTAATTTTGCCCTACCAATAAATCAATTTTATTAGCTAAATGTTAAATTAAATAAAATTCAAATATTACATAACATAAAACATCTTGAGAAATACATTTATTTCTTTTAGAGGGGGATGAAGTCATTGCCTGAGGGCGTCGAATTTTTAAGGCCAGAACTGAGTGCATGTCCTCATCCAAAAGAGTTTTGAGTTTCGATCGGGATATGATTTGAAACCGACTGCTACACCAAGTTTAAATATTCCTAGATTTCAATGATTTTTTTTTCGTTTTGTAGACAATTTAGTAATGTTTTATATAATCATGGGAATAACCAAGGGAAAAGTGTATAATTTTTTAGTTATTTGCAAATAAAGTTTCTTTTCTTTTATAACTTGTTTGCCTGAATTTTCGGGATGATATGACTATTTTGCCCGCCTGAAGGAGAAGGAAGGAAGCATTCGAAATTGGTGGCTCAATCTTGAGATTTGGTGAAGAATTAACGATGATATTGCTTGCCGATCAAAAACACCGTCAATAAATAATATAAACTCCTCCTCTCTCGATCATAGAGACCTCAAGTCGACGAAATGAGACATGTATTCAATGATAGTACTACAATTAACGTCAGGTTGTGTGGATGCGAACCTCATGCCTTGCGTTATCTCGAAAATAGTACGTTTTTGGGCTTAAAAACGCAGGATCCGATAGTTCCGGAGGAATAAAGTCTTTATTTATTTTAGAAAGAAAAACAAAAGCAGAGAATACGATTCTCTAACCCCCCGTGAAATTCTGAATCCAACGTGTACTCCATTCATGGTATTTGAGCATGATAGGAGCGTATATTTGGTACAAAACCGATTTCGAGCCTTACTGTAATAATATATGTGGGGATTCATATCCTTCCATTGATTAAATACTACCAATCATTTTTATTAATGGAATAATAAAAATGAAATCATTTCGTCTTTTGAAAATTCAACGTTTTAACAATAAACATTCGTCCCTTTAATTCTAATTATTTGTTGCATCTGTAGTCTATTCTAGTAAGGGACCTTATCAAAAATTTAAGGACTAGTATTAATAATTCAACTTTATATTCTTCTCGGATTAGTACCGTCAACTTCAATACTCATATCTCACACGCACTTTCCCACTCTAATAATAAATGGTAGTGAAGCGCTGAAGAAGTGAAGTGGAGAAGAATGAATTACAGCGAGAGTTGAGCCGAGCTATCAACCACAGCCTCCCCCCTCCCCCTGCCACTCACCCTCCTGACATACACCCGCCCCCCTCTGCCATTCAACTCCTCCCCCCTCTCCCCCCTCCCCACCGGATTGACTGATAAAATTGTCAAACAAGAGCTACACTGCTACAGCCCTCCCCCCTCCCTGTGTCAGGTCCTCTGTCCCACCGCTTTTGATGGATGGAAACACCAGCAGCTGCCGGGTCCCGCTCTACTGTACTCATAAATACAATTCCTGCTATAATTGTTTAGCCATTTAATATATCATTTTATATATGTATACTGTTACCTAGGACTCCATCTGGACAAACGTCTAACTTGGAATCCTCAAATCAGACTGAAACGAAAAGAAACAGCTCGACGTTTCCGACTACTTCAACACTTACTAGGTAGTTGATTGTCAGTTTTAATTTGATGTTAGAACCTGTTCGTCATTTATAATTCATTTCTTCATTCTATGAATTCTAGTTATTTCTACTTTAATATTATTTAACGGAAATTATATGTTTCCATGGAAACATTTAAAATGTATATCTACGAATATAGTTGATACATCGATTTTTTGAATCACTGCGATTTAAAAAAAAAAATGTTTTATTATACTTTTGTGAAAGTAGGTTTAAAAAGGGTGTTCTCTTTAAATTATTATAAATATATACATATTTCAAGTGTTTAAGGCTCAGAAAAACTTCATTTTATTGCTTTTGGTAACTTTATTTTAATACCTGATGTAGTTTAATTATAGTTCAATTTTCAGAAATTAATGATTTCCCCATTTTCTGAACTGTTTTAATCAATTATCAATTTTTTTTTTCGTATTTTTAAATCCTTTGTAAATACTTAGTGAAGTTCCACAAAACATTTTGTTTGTTCCATATCGACATAAACTTTACTGGAGCTCCCCTACAAGTTCCACCCCCCGCTCCCCATAAACCATAAGCCCCGCCCCAAAATATCACTTTGTCTTTGCCAAACTATAACTTGAGAATCCTTGAAATATGTTTGGTACTTGCTGCAGACTGTGTGGTGAAGCCGTTAGCTGGAATATCATACGACTTTTACAGAACTCTTGGTATTCTTTACTTTATTTCCACTTCATCTACTTGAATTCCCAACATGAGTTCTGAAATTTGATTTTTACACTTCCATGAAATCGCTTAAGGGGTCACTGTAATTGACACTAGGCAAGTCTTAATATTTTATTAATATTAATCATTTATTAGACAGCCGCTCCTTTTTATCCTGACAGATTCTTAAAATTTATTTAACATCTTAACCTCACTCCTTTTCCGAATGTGATGATGTGTACTCAACTACTTCTCTACTTGCATTGTATTAATCCACAGTTTCCGCAGGCTAGGTTTTATTTTATTTTTTTTAATTCAGAGGTACTTTTACATATTTCACAAACTATAAGAAACATGAAGGAAGGAGATGGTCCAGGGTGGCGGTCATAAATAGGCTAAATAGTGGTAAAACTATTTTATTGAAAGCCGACGTTCCGACCCGACTTTGCAGATCTTCTTCAGGGAGGTGTGTTCAGGGGGGCGGGGTGGCCGAATAGGTTAATGCGTGTGTAACAGCACCGCTAGTTGCCTGGCAACAGAGATTTGAGATGATATAAAAAGTACGAGTTTGCGTCCCGGTGCCGGAAGGGATTTTAAATTCCCCGCCCTCACCCCCGGCCCGGGAAAGTCCGTATAGCCTAAAAGGCGAGGTAGGAAGAACAAAAAAAAAAAAAAAAGGAGGTGTGTTCAGCTAGGGGTTCCAGTTCTAAGTGAAACTCCTAGCTGAACACACCTCCCTGAAAAAGACCTGCAAAATCGGTTTCGAAACGTCGGCTTTCAATAAAATAACAGTTTTAAGTGAAACTCCTAGGCGAACACATCTCCCTGAAGAAGACCTGCAAAGTCAGGTCGAAACGTCGGCTTTCAATAAAATACTTTTACCACTATTTAGCCTATTTATGACCACAACCCCGGACCATCTCCTTCCTTTATAATGCAACGGTCAACTATTAAATATTCAATATAAGAAACTTGAATGTGTAACTGGGCTGTTTCTCAAGTCTGGTGTTTGTGTCCCTTTTACACATTTCTTTACTTTTAGTTTAGTTTGAGAGATGATGAATTTACTGGTTTCAGTAGCTTTATCATCCACTATGTTTAACGAATTTCGCGCTTTCTTTCATTTACTTTTACTTCGTTTTGTTTCTGTTTAAAATAAAATTAGATTAATACGATAAATAAATCCAATTTCACCCCGTGTTTCTCTAAGTCTAAATTCAAACTTCGTTCTTGTATTTTTTTTTTTTAGTGAAAACTTCTTTAGGCACGTTTTGCACTATTTTTGTTGTGAGTGAATTAGATTGAGCTGTCAGATCTCCGATGTATACGGCTCGGGTAAAGTCGGCTTGAGACGAGTAATTGATGTGTTTTTGGATATGGATTAAATTATTTCAAAAACTAAAAACCGGAACTCCATATTGTTAGCTAGGAAAATGCTTATCATTCCATCTTCGTTGTAATGAAAAATTATTCAAAAGTGTGTCTTATAGCGACGTCCTGTTAGCAAGGCGAAAAGGAAAAAATACTTTCGAAAACCAAATGATACCGAGTTTTCTGGATGATATGGATTAAAATATTTCAGAAACTAAATATCGTATCTGCATACTGTAAGTGACGGAAATGTTCAACATTTCATCCTCTTTATAATAAACTATTATTTATAATTTACATTTAGTTCATATTGCTAATCTCGCTTTGTTGATGTTTTCACTTCTGCCGTGTGGTCTACAGCACACACACCTTAATTATTTTTTGTTTTCGTCAGTTTCAAATTAGACATGAGTCACTTATTTCCATATTGAGTCCTCATCGATTTTTCGAGTGTTCACTTCGGAAACAAACGATTCATATGAAACCATAAAAAATTTGGAGAACACTTAAAATATAATGTAATATTTTTCACAATTTTCAGCTCAAATCGTTTCAAAACATTCACGAGATCTCACTGAGTAATTTGACCCGTCAAAGCTAATAATTGCTAAGTTGTTCATCACAGTTGCAAGCGGCCTGAACACATTACTCTGCTGGTTGTTACGATTCAGTCGGTTAAAAATTTAGAAAGTTCAATTTTAAACTCCTTTCTAAATGACCTTATTGGTCAAAATACTTGAATAGATAGATTGAACTACATTTAATATGTTTTTTTGTTTTTTTAATGCTTGTTTATTATATGTGGATATGGAAAAATAACGTTTCATTGTTTTACAGGTGAAACTGCGGTGCGGGCCTCCTAAACTAGCTCTAGTGCCCGTCGAGAACAGTTCCAGTGATCCTCCAGCGATCGAGAAGCTGGACAACAGCTCGGCCAGGGTGGAACAGCTGGAGAAGCAGCTGAGGAACTTCTTGGCCGAGATAGAGACCACCAAGGCTCGAGGACTCTTCGCCAACCTCGCCGAGGCCCTCTGCTCCGACGACAGCTTCGCAGAGACCAGGGACACCGCGGACTGCTGGAATGGCCATCGTGTCGGAGAGTGAGTAGATAGTTCTCTTCTTCAATTCTAGCATTATAGTTTAAGATATCCTTCGCGAATGGCAGGTCAAGGTATAGATCGTGGAAGGATAAGGCAACGTTTGACTTGAGAGGTTGTAGTAATTGAGTGCGCAAACAGTACTCTGTAAATAACCTATTAAGAGTTTAATTGTAAATAATCTGTTTTGGCGGGAATTGTGAATATTCCTTCCATTTTTATGGGGACACTAGGTTATTTACACTCGTAAATATTAAAACAAAAGCCCGGCACTGGATATAGACTTTTTGAGGGTGTTTAACTGTTATTGGGAATTCGGGAACCTAATACTTTTGTGACACTGAGTGACAAGAAACAATAAGAATATATATATCTGAAATGTGGGACTTTTTGACATGAATTGACTCACCTGGTTTGTTATTCTTCAATTGTGAGGCATATAGGACAACTAAATAAATAAATGACTTTTCACTCCTGTATACCAAAATAATTTATTTCTACAACTGTAATAAATTGACTCTAGTAAAGTGTTATAACTATTGGCTTGATCTTCCTAATCTTCTGTGTAGTAGACTTCTCTTCTCAGGTAACCATCTTCCTTAATTGTCCCAGCTTCAAGTGCGTTCTCCTCTCTTCTCCGGTGTCCTCTAGCTGTTGCTACCTGCTGCGTCCTATTCCAACCTTCGATATCAGACTTTTCAATGAATAATTTGTCCACTGCACAATTGAGTACAATTCATTGTGCAACCTCATATTCCTTCTTATTCCCTCACACAATGTGACATAAAGGAGTAAATACTGGGGGCTATCTACTACAACTCATAGACTTGACACCAAGCGATAATGTGTTTGAATTCGTTCCCCTCTTTCATAATGACCATATCTGAGGTAAGTTTCTCCTATATGGAATGCAGAGAATAGCTCTATTGTGAGCCACAAATGTACATATGTATACAAATGTACATACATACAAATGCATGTTAGTCAGGATGTGTTTTTCGACACATGCCTCTCAGTAGTGATGCCTCTCGAACTCCTGCGAGAAAATAAGTTCAATAAACAAGAGGAAGCTTAGGGCTGTCGGGTATTTCAGAGTGGGGCATTGTTTTATTTGCATGCAACATCAATCAATTTTTTTCTTCTTAGTCTAGTCATTGAAACCACATTTCTCCTCAATGTTTCAATTCATCCTCTAGAAACTTTTCCGGCTAAAACATAATAATTATCACTGCTTATAGACAGTAGAGAATGGGCGATTATGTTTCACATATTTGGTAGTATAATACGTTACAAAATGCAAACAACCAAAATTTAAACTGCTCACTGGTGTATGTGGAAAGCTACTGATTTCAGCTTTGTACAGTTATCTGTTTAGGAGAACGTTGCTCGACTTAGAAATACAGTTTCTAAAAATAGTATCGTTAAGTATCTTGTTGTACTGTATCATGAAATAGTGAAAAAAAAAATAAAACATCTCTATACTAATTTTATACTATATTATCCTACACTAAGCTTATACTAATTACTTAGTCACTTCTTAGAGACATGTCGAACTAATTTTTCTTCTAAAAGTTGAAAAATTACTACTTAGTTGTTTTTTCCAAGTGTTCAGTTGGCTTTTCTCTCAGATTTTTCATTCAATTCATTATTTGTTAACATCCTACAACTGTTTCAAACACGTTCCTCGTCATAATTTTGAATTTCATTTTCAAGTACTACACTGCCTTTGTGTCATTAATGGCCAAACTGTTGAAGAAAACCGTTCTATATGTCTTCACCGAAAACTATTTCCTTCAGCTATTAACAGAAGGAAACTACTCATAATACAGAGAGTTTGTTTACGGGTGGAATACCACAATGCTACCTCGCAAAAAGAGAGGATGATCGACATAACTGGTTCTAGAAGAAGGCAGCTCGTGTTAGGATGGATATTTCAAATGTAGCAGTTCGGTAGAGAGGAGGGTTAAAGTCAGAAGGACAAGATCAAGTAGTATGTAGGATGGGCGCTGAGTTCTGATTCCATGATATAGAAAGGACGTAAGGAAATACTGACAACTGTGAGATGGGTGGAGCCATTTTAGCTTGATATAACACTGGGTTATTCGCATATCTCTAACGACCCCTTAAAATAAATCATTTAAGCAGTTCTTAAGCTCTTGAAGTCTTGCTTTGAGTTCGATGCACTATACCAGACTGACGTAGTATTCACACAGCTTATTGAAACAATATTATTAATTTTTTTTTTGGATTGAGGCGATTGTTATGCAGAAATAAAACGTAACAACCCCATACTTTAACACCCTGATGGTCTAAATGGCACTGAAGTATATATTTAATAAATTAATATATTAATGGACATTATCCATCTAGTAAGTTGTGAAAATTTCACATTGCTTGTTAATGATGACTATATATTTATGACAGCTATTAAAAAATCTCAAAGGCTGCGATTAATGAATGAGGCTGAGGTGATTATTAAGGCAGCGCTATTACTCAACTAGAAAGGCTAAATCCGGTCGTTATTGGCGATTGTTAACAAGGAAGGGAGAGGATTCGCTAACGAACCCTTCCGCTAAACTAACTACTAGTTCAAATGTTTTAATCAAACTAACTGTGACTAATTACCTCTTTGTACGCCTCTCGGGTATCAACGCCGCCTACTCTAAGGTCCAGATCTCATTTATTATTTCTTCTGCATGGTTAACTTCAAGTAAAACAATTTTACATTTTTGTTTATTACTAAATACCAATCAGTATAATTTTTTACTGGTTTTATGCTAATATGGTAACTATTCGACAATATGAAGCTTCGTTAAGATGGAGACTGCAGTGCCTTTCTTTACTCACTCACAGTAAAATGGAGCGTTGATACAATGGTATTTATTATGGTTAGAATAGATGTGGTTGTATCAGTCTCTCTGCACTCCCCCTCACGTCCACCCCATATGTTGAAAAAAAAGTTCAAGGACAGTGACAAATTGGTGCGATCCACGGATTACGGCTGTTCAAGGTCAGCAGGTGAACTAGGACCTAATGTTGCCTCGATATTACGTAAATTTAATTAATTCTTTTTATAATGGAATATTGCAAGTACCTCTTCTTCTTATACATTGTGAATTACATCCTTTATTAATTCTTTAATTTAGTAGTGGTTTTTCTGTTATTATTAGTATTCCTATTTTAGATTGTTAAATATACTATCAAAACTCTTCCTCTTAAAAAGGTATTAGCTTTTCTTTTGGTCTAGAGATTTCACTATTTTTGTAGTATAATTTTTTCGGAGAGAAATCTGAAGAGTGCTGAGCGACCAATTCCTCAAGAAGCTGAGCGGACAGTTATCCTCGATGGTTGATCCTCCAGGTCTCAAGAGGAAGGAAGGCATTAGGATTTACATAGAGATTGGAAGCGAAGGATCCCAGCTGCTGACCATCCCCAACACATTACCCAACGTTATAGTTCAGCTGAGCTGGATATTTAGGAACTGGACAAATATAATAACGGCCTCTTAAAACTGACGAGCTTTTAGTATCAGAAACTAGCCAAATATTGTAACTATATAAAAAATCTATAAATTAATAGTTACTATTACTACATAGGTTTACGGACCTGCATTATCAACCATCTGATACCCCAGAGTTCATTCATTTTCAATTTAATCCTTTTATACCCAAAAATATATTTCTATGACGTAGATATTCCTGCATCAGATAATATTATATACTTAAGTTTTAATCTAGACAAAAGCCTAACTTGGAAAACTCACATTAGACAAAAACGTATTGAATTACACAGAGGATAAGGTATTTTATTCAGGTTACTTGACAGACGTTCAAAATTATCGTTAATTAACAAACTAACCCGGTATAAAGTTTTACTAAAACCAATTTGATGTTATCGTATAGAACTGTGAGGTTCTGGTAAAACCTCCAACATTAAAAAATTTCAATCTTTTCAATCAAAAGCGTGGCGAGGGATAGTTTACGCACCGTTCTATGTCGAAAATGAAAGAATACACAAGAACATAAACCTCCCAATAATTTTAGAAACGAAAAATACACTTCCACAGCTCACCACGAGGTGTCCAAGAGATTTATTTTGATAACTTTCTCCTGTGAGTGGGACGCTATGAAGCCATTAAAAACATATATAATCTAATTTTAAGTTATCATTTGATTTTTGGTTGATAAATAATAATAATCTTCTTATGCAATTTTATTTACCTATCTTGAAAAATTAATCCTACTTTATTTAGTAATATTAGACTGTTTTTCATGATTCTTCGATTATCTGTCAAGAATAGTCTCTATTAGTAAATTATTTATTTTGTATCTTAAAATTAAACAGATTTCGGTGTAGCCATAGACTGGAAAATATTCTTAAAATAATATGATAATAATAAATAATATTGGATTAATAGTTGACTGTCGTGAATGTGATGAAGAGAAGACAGTTAGGAAGCGCAGTCAAAAGTAAAAATAAATAAATTATATTTATTTTTGTCGACGTTTCGGCCTAATGTTCAGGCCTTCATCAGGTCTAAGAAAATACACGATAACAATACATATTAGAAACAAGTAAATGGTGGAAACATAATAATATATGGAACAATGTCATGATATATAACATAACGGTAAGGTTAGGTTTACATTATTTTAACTTTACAATTCTCTTTTACGTAATCAATAGGTTTTGTTAGATTTTATTGTACCTTAATTATTCTATTCACATCTATTATTTTCTTTATATAACTTCATGTTCCTTTTCTCTGTTTTACATTTTATTCTAAACCTGTGTCACTTGCTTATAACATACTAACACATCAATTTTTAGCAACTACATTATTCCATATACTTTATGTCTAATACTTACGTTTTTAATATCTTAATATTCCATTACATTTCCTTGTTAGTTCATTTTTCATTTCTTTGCTTATTTCATTATGTTGTTACCAATATTTTATTAGTTTCTAACTCTGTTACCGTTATTAATTATGTCATAAGTCCTTAT